GCAATTCACAATTATTCTCCAACTGGAACCTCTAAACATGTTTGGATTTTATGTTGCTAATGGATTAAAATACATCTCAACAAACTAGAGATTTCACCACCAGGTCACTAAACAGCCTCATGACAGATGGAGAAAAGATTGAGGTTGTTAATGATTTCATTTTGCTCAGATCCACAATCAGCACCCTTGGCACCAGCGGTGAAGAAATCAAGACAAGTTGCATTGGGAAAAACCTCTCCAGAGTGCAAAAGAGCAACAAAGTCATTCTAGAGACTTAAGGTGCACCTGAGCCAGGCCATGGTTCTTTTATCAGGACATCAGTTCTTCTGTCATCCTTAGTCATTGTCTAGCTCTCATACGCATAGTGAGGCATCAGTTCTCTTTCTGTTAGCCCTGGTCATTGTCTCTGATGCATAGCAAGCAATTGCAGAGACAGTAGCTTGGATAAGTCACACCTTAGTTTCCAGACTGACATCACTGCTCTTCAGTGCTCTGGAGAGGTTCCTGACAGCAGATCCCAGTTGAATTAATCTTTTTATTAATTGACGGGTGCCAAGAGTGTTGATTATGGAAACAAGCTGGAATTTCTAACAATCTCAGTCTCTTCTCTGTTTATCATATCATGATGCTGCCAATTGGCTCAGTGGTGAGAATCTTTGTTTTCTTGATGTTGAGCTTTAATCCATATTGAAGGGTGTAGTCCTTGACCTACTGCAACAGATGCCTCAGGTCCTCAGTTTGGCAAGCAAGGTCATCTGAATAACAAAGGTGGTTATTGTTATGTACCACCAAATAGAAACTGAGGCTCAGCTGACCCTCCACTCAATTTTCAGAGGCTTCAAATCACATGGAAGGAAATTGCTCATCTTTCTCCCACAGTGCAGATGATGGATTTGATCTGAGTGAGTGTGCTTTTGGGTTAATAGTGTAACTCCTTGAGTACTGAACCACCAGAGCTCCTTACTCTTACATAGACTTGTATTTTAAAGATATCTCATAGTTAATGTTAGATGGGACTTAGCTTAAAGCAGGGAATACCAGAGGAATGTTTTATCTGTGTTTCCTTGATTATGCAAAGGTGTTTGGCTGTGTGGATCATAACAAACTGGCTGACTCTGAGAACAATGGGACCCTCAGAACACTTGATCATGCTAATGCGAAACCTATACTTGGACTAGGAGGCAGTCGTCAGAACAGAGCAAGGGAACACTGCATGGTTCAAAATTGGGAAGGGTGTACGCCAGGGATGTGTCCTATCTGCATACCTTTTCAGCCTATATGCAGAACAGATTATCCATGAGGCTGAGCTCTATGAGGAGAAGTGTGGTATCAGGATTGCTGGAAGATCAATCAACAGTCTACATTATGCAGATGACACAAACCTGTTTGCTGTACTTGAGAAGGACCTGAAGCACTTGCTGCAGAAGATCAAGGATTGCAGCCTTCGATATGGATTAAAGCTCATTGTCAAGAAGACAAAGATTCTCACCACTGGGCCAGTTGGCAGCATCAGGATGGATGGTGAAGAGATTGAGATTGTTCACAGCTTTAGTTTGCTTGGCTCCACAGTCAACACTCTTGGCAGCCAGGAAATTAAAAGACATTTTGCAGTGGGAAAGTCTACTGTTAGGGACCTCTCCAAAGTACTGGAGAGCATTGGTGTCACTATGGAGATTAAGGTGTGCCTGAAATAGGCTATGGCCTTTGTGATCACTTGCTATGCATCAGAGAGCTGGACAGTGACTAGGGATGATAGAGTATTGATGCCTTTGAGCTGTCGTGCTGGAGAAGAGTATTGAATGTACCATGGGCTGGTAAGAGAACGAAGAGGTTCATCCTGTAGAGGGTTAAACCAGGCTGTTCCTTCAAGGCAAGGATTCTGAGGCTTCATCTGACATACTTTGGACATGGTGCAAAGGGACCAGTCCTTGGAGAGGGACGTCATGCTTGGGAGGGTAGAGGGACAGACAGCGCAGAAGGGGAAGACCCTCAATGAGGTGGATTGATTCAGTGACTGGGGAAATCGGCGTGGGAGTGTCGGAGACAGTGAGATTGGTTTAGAGCTGTTGTACATAGAGTCGCTATGAGTCGCAAGTGACTCAGTGGCACATAACAACAACAACTTTGTATTATCAGATTTTCATCCATTGTTTAGTCCAAACAGCTTTGCAGTGAATACTATTGATTATTATATCTTATTTAGTGGATTGAATTTTGTCTCTCAAAAATAGGTGGTGTGAATTTTAACCTATATACTTTGAATATAATTGTATGTAGGAATAAACTTTTTCTGCATAAATGAGGTCATATACTTTAGAGTTTATTTTACACTAGTTACTTTTGAGATACAAGTTTAACCAACAAATGATAGAAAAGCAAGCAGAGATGAGAAAATAAAGATGTTAGGCCACATAAAGGTCTTAAAGAACCACGGAATAGAAACTGTAAAAGAGGCAAGAACTGTCTCCTAGAGCCTACTGAGAGAGAAAAAGCCTTCCCATTGAGCGGTCAGGTATCCTGAATTCAAACTCCTAAAATGTGAGAAGATAGTTTGTTAAAGCCATCTACTTCTGGTATTTCTCTAACATAGATAACTAAAGTACTACTGAAGATGCGTAAAATAGTTTCCACAGAAAGATTTATAATCATTTACTTTGCCTGTCAACAGTATGTGACTCTGTACTCGCTAAGTGTGACCACTCCAGCCCTGGAAAAAAAAATCACGTTACTGCATATTTCACATATTTCTAATATTGGCCCATCATCCAGAAAACATTTTGATGTGTTTTGTTCTTTTCTTAGCCTGCACCAAATTACTTTTACTTTGCTTCGCTTCTTATACAGGAAAATTGGCATTGTCAAACTCCTCCCTCTTCTTTCTTCTGCCAAATTAAAAAAATCTACTTTGTACCCATGCATTATGTTCCTCATTTGCCAAGAGCAAATCTGTGTACTTGTTGGCTCAAGAAGTTTTCCCCCATCTGCTTAGAGACTTCTAGAATATATACCACGGCATCTTCAGATTCTCCCTCTGTTATTAGATACTTCTCAGTGTAACTCATTTTCTTCTTTAAAGTGAAGTGCCCTCCCCTAGCCTTATAATATTCTCGTATGATTTTACTTTTTTTTTCTTTAATTTTCCAACTTTGTACCTGTCCCTACATTCCCTCCCCCCCCCCAATTTGAAAAAAACATGTGGGAAGTAAATTTTTAATTTCTTTTAGTTATCAAAGGGAACTCTGGTGGTTTAATGGTAAGGAATTACACTGTCAACCCAAATGGTTCAAATCTATAAGCTTTTCTGAGGGAGAAAGATTAGCAGTCATCTTCTGGGCAATTCACATAAATTCTGAAAACCCACCGGAGATCTCTGAGTTGCTTCTGACTCAGCACATAACAACAACAGTTATAAAGAATTAATAAAAATAAAATACTTTAGATGCTGTGTGAGTGAAAAGCCAAAACAACAGCTACAAAAATGTATGTCTGTAGTTTCTGAACATTGTTTATAGAACACGAAGCAGTCAGTATTCATAAAATATGGTCATTAATAGTCGTGTGAAGGAAGGGTGCATGTGTTAGACTAACCTCTCATGAAAACATTCCTAAAGTATGTGAGGCAAAATCTCAACAGCCTTTCCCTTAGGGCTCTTCCCCATGTACCATTTCTGTGGCAGATTTGTTTGTTCTTTTGTTCAGCAATATTTTTCATTAGTGACACGATTCAGAGATAGCAGCTTTTCTCACTCTTCCTTATTCATGATATTTTCAGTTGATTAATATGCATGGAAAAAGAGAAAATTAAATTCCTTGACAGCTTCAACTTTTATTTCTTGTGTTGCTTATTGATCCTCAGCTGAAGATTTTATTTATTAATACAGTGATCAGTACTCAAGGTTGTAGTCTGATTTTCATCACTAAGTGTTTCAAGTTCTCTTTACACCTCAGCAAGCAGGATTGTGTCATCTGCATATTGAATTTTTTAATGTTTGACTCACTCCCTCCCTCTTACTGCCATTGAGTTAAAGCCTACTCATAGTTGACCCTCCACTGTGTTTGTGAGGCTACAGATCACATGGGAGGAGACTGACCATCTTTACTCAGAGCTACTGTGGCATTCAGAATGGCACAGAGGTAAAGTCTTCAGGTCAACAGTGAAACTTCCTATATAGTGCACAGTCACAGCTATCTAGATTTGGATTTACTCAAGCATAGTTTGTTACTTAATTTTGTTCCTTTTAATAGGCCATGATTTTCTGTTTCTCAGAGTGCCTTCTGATTTTATTTATTTATTCTTAACAGAAAACTTGAAATGGGTTCTGAGCTTCTTAAATCTCCACCATCTAGCTCATTCGCACTATACCTTTTATATGATTTTAAACTTTTCTTTATTTTAGTTGTAACTTTGAAATGCTACATAGCAAGTTTGTTTTTGTTTTTTTTGGGGGGGGGGTTTTGTGTGTGTGTGGTTTTTTTTGTTTTTTTTTTCATTTTTATACAGTCTTTTTAGTAGGCAGATGGTCTACTTTTTTATGTACTAAATTTTTAAATTTGAGTTTGTAACTCTTCAATGTCATTTATTCAATAAGTGTTTTGTTGGCATAAGTAGTTCTTGACCATGAAAATTTAGTTTACATGAAGTAATAAAAAATAATTTACTTCTGTACCCTACAATAATCAACCTGACCATTTGGGGGTATACACTTAGCATATGTTTGACAAGAAGATTTTATTATCCACATACAGATATGTATACATATACATACTTAAAGTTGGGACCAATGTGATGATTCCTAACAGTATGTTTATGAAGTAGAGAAGGGGTGGTAGGAAAAGAAACCCGAGAGAACATGAACAGCTTCATTGGTACTTGTTAGAAAGTAATGGCTTAATAGACAAAGATCTCCTCTACAGCAAAAGAAGAAGACAATATTTGTGTTAGCACTAAAAAGACCATTAAATTAAAGAGAGGGAAATGTCCTTTTTTTCCTTCTCAAAAGATTTCCATGGAGAATGATTATTTGGGTCCCCGAAGAATTGAGAGTCTACAAAAAGAAGATGCTGATTGGCAACGGAAAGCTCACATGGCTGTGCTTTCTATTCAAGATCTTACTGTGAAATATTTTGAAATAACAGCAAAAGCTCAGAAAGGTAAGTTTCCCAGTAAACTCACCCATGTTAAACATTTTAAAAATAAGTAGTTAAGATACTTTATGTTCAAAATATGATATTGTCGTAATGTGCTGTTGAGTCAGAATCAACACATAGCTGACCCTCTGGATTTTCAGAGGCTGTAAATCACATGGGAAGAGACAGCCCATCTTTGTTTTGTGGAGCACCTGGTGAACTCGAACCACCTGCCTTTGACTTGGCAGCACAACTCCTTACCACTCAGCCACCAGAGCTCTTGACAAAGTAATTATTAAAGAGGAGTCTTAGAAATTCATGATCTTTTTTTGTTTAATAAAACGGAACTTTCCCAGTGTCATAGAGTATCCTAGCAGTAATTTGCAGAGCTTAAAAAGCTTCTTGTGTTTGATACCAGTTCCTTCCTGGTGACTAATTCATTCCTACTTGCATATCCTCTAAACCTTCCTTATCCAAGTGACTATAGAACAACTTCCTTGACTCCTTGTTGATGTAGTCTTTAAACCTATGTTGTGTTAATTTTAACATTCCATTTATTCTTTGAACACCTCCAGGTTTTTAAATTTCACTAAAAGCACTTTTTATAAAGACTGCTGGCCCTGCTTGAGAATGCTTTTCATTATCCCTAATTTGCCACTAAAAGAGCGCTGACATTTCACAGTTTTTACTTTATTACGTTTACATGATTACAGAGGTTGCTCTTTGTTGTTGTTGTTTTCTTCTAATTGAGACTGTTTTTACCCATTTTTCTATTGGAATGCTTCTCTTTTGACTAGTACAAACTATATAATCACATTTATTTTACTCTTAACTCTGATGTTATAAATATATCTTCATAATTGTTTCCTTTAACTTTTTAGTTATACAAATTCTGTTTATTAAAACCATCAGAATTTTTAGAATGGTAAGTTCTTTTTATATTTTCTGGAATAAGGGTCTTTTTGTCTCCAAATAAATAAAATTTAGATTTTAAAAATGTGCTCACTAAACTTTTCCCTCTGGGCTCTTTACCTTCCATTGATGTACCTTGATGGTTCTTATGCTGTAATTACTGTAAGGGTCATAATGAATATTATTCAGTTCATCAAGATTCCATTAACATGTCAAAATTTTCTTTATTATAAGTAATTATTCTTCCCTAGAAAATAATGTCATTCTATTTTTAAAATGAGCAGTTATTTTTCTCTAAACTAATGGAATTTTGGGAGCTCCGGTGGCCTAGTAAGAAGAAGCTGCACTGCAATACCAAAGGCACACAGTTCAAATCCACCAGGTACTCTGCTGGAGAGAGAGGGGCAGTCTCCTCTTGTGCCAGTCGGATCTGATGCGAAGTACACAAAAAGAAGAAGAAAAAACCCACTAATTTTGTCCAGTATTTTTATATAAAATAACAGTATAGTATTTATAGTAATAGAGAATAATAAATTACTTCTTATTATGGTATACTAATGATACTTTGAAATATATTTATTCAAGTCTATTTTCTGCTTTACAGAATTTGTATAGGGTTTTTTTTTTTTTTGCTTGTTTTTTTCCCCCAAAATCTAAAAATTTTGTATTTGGAATATTTTATATTTTGTTAAAATGAAAGGAAAGCATTTTTTTATTCATAGGTTCTAAACTTAATTCATTTTTAATACTCAAATCTTTGTTCTCCTTTAGGCATTGAATATTGTATAAAATATGGTGTTTAAATAAATGTTTCACTTTGTTACATTGTGATACTCGATAGAGTTATATAAATCATGTATATAATATTTGCTTTTGAAGAATAAAAAAAGTAGTTTGCTTAAATTTAATAAATTTTTCTTAGAATTACAATCAGTATTTTGTGATACAGATAGCTGTTATCCTTCATTGTTTTATGGCATAGTTCACTCATAACTATTTTGGATTACATTTGTTATGGATAATTTTGTACATAAATTGTGGTAAAACTCTAACTAGAATGTTTATTGCTATATTTTAAAATCATTTTACAGTGTCTACCATCAACATAACTGTGCCACTTCTTGATGTTTCCAGAAAGTGAATATTTGTCTAACACAGGGGCCATAATTAACTTATTTTATATTCTGTTTTCAGAAAATCAGGCTTCTCTTGAGGCTCATAAGTATTTTATTAAAAAGTAAATAACCAGTTCTAAAAATAATAGATTTTAATATTTGCCTGCAGGCTCATTTTTAGTAGAGAAACAATAGTAAGGATTATTTAATAGCACATATAATATATAACCTATTACTGGCAGTCCCTTTGGTTACATATGTCCAGTTTACATACAACTCATTGTTAACAATCTGTGTGAACTCATTAAAAACTCAAGGTATACAGAGTGTTTCATAATACCCTTGAAAAAAAGCACCATGCTCATTTTCATCATTATTACTCCTGCATACTAATATAGTACATAGTACAGTGCTATAGATGTTTTAGTGTTTCTTCTATAGTCTGATATTGTTTTACTAACTGGAGTTAAATGTGAACTTAACCTGTTCTGATTGTGATTTAATATACCAGTTCAGCTTAAGACAGAAGATTGGAACTCGTTCATGATCCAGGGACTGCTTATACTCTGTCACCATTCTGCGTTCATTTTTCTTTATATATGCATAGGTACATTTCAATTAGTTAAATATTTTTTATACTTACATTGTTAGGGTGAAGTATTACTATATACATGCTCATTACATAATTGCTTTAATTCATATTTTCACATAGTTCATAGTTTCTTAGTTCTAATAATTCTGTGCAAACCAATTTTATTCCTATTGTTTATACTTCATCCGTTTCAGGTGAAACGTGGTGTTTTTTTTTCCTCTGTGATGAACATCTTTCTTAGGTTCCAAACTTCTTCACATCAGAGACCTTCTAATGAAGTCTGGCTTCATTGTTCTAGCAAGAAGCCTTTATCCCAAACATGGAGAAATATTTAATTTGTTTTATTTTTTAATTTCCATTTTCTGAGCCTCTGTTTCCCTCCTCCCATGCAGGAGAAACAGAATGAAGAGCTCTGTATGGCTTTATGCTGTTGAGAGAGTAATAGCCTTCCTTTATGTTTCCAATCAGAAGGTAACTTTCTACTTTCTCTTTTTAGAAGAGGAGTAAAACAGGCCCTTCTTTGTTTTCATTCATTTTAGAGAGTTAGATGAACCTAAATTAGCTATGTGACCACTTGATAACTTTCTACAGATCTTTAATTATTCTTTGCCTCTTTTAAGTTTTATTTGTTGTAGATTTAACATGGTACATTGTCAACACCAGAACATTAACAGTTGATATTCTTACAGTAATGTAAACGTTCATCTTAATAGGGATTTTCATTCATCCCAGCACATGGAGAGAATAGTCTGTCTTAGGGATATTCTAAACATTCTTCAGTAGGCAATAAGAGGTTAAAGACATTATAAATAATTAACTAAATTGCAGTGGCTATTAATAAAACAAAATATCTGGGGATGAGAAATGAAAAACCTGTATGATCAGTAAACCTTTACTTTGGGGGAGGGACATTCATGCCAACACATGGAGACAACAATCTGTTTTAGGGATTGTTTAAACCTTCCATATACATAAACTTTTCTTCATTACTTTCATAATTCTGAGCTATTTAAATAGCATTACAGTGAAGTGAGAAAGAAAGAGTAAATTCCAGATAGACTCCATCCAAAGATGTTGGAAGCCTAAGTATTAACTAGCTCTCGGGTTGAGTAATAGAGTGCTTCTTGGGGGCAAAAATGACAAAGCTTCATCTCACATACTTGGGGCATGAGGCTAGGAGAGGCTGTTCCTTGGAGAGGAGGACCATAGTTGGAAAGGTAGAGGGCCAGTGAAAGAAAGACCCCAACCAGGTATAGTGGCACAGTGACTGCAGTAATGGGCTCAAGAGTATGTCAGATGATGAGGATGACTCAGAATAGAACAGTTTCAGCTCTGTTGTTCATAGGATCACACGGTGAGTCATTTTGGTTTGATGGCACCTAACAGCGACCATCGCAGAGAGCTCCTGTTTCTTTGTGAATAGACAGGATGTTTAGCTATATATTATCATGAATAAATTTATGTAAAAATGATGATCCTAAGAAATTAAATAATGTGCCCTTATTACTCTATATATGTGACCTCAATAACAAAACCCCTTCATTTTTCACGTCTATACAAAAGATCTTGATAATGCCTGTTGTGGGCAGATAAGTAGAGAAAACACAGAAAAGTCCTTTGAAGTTATATATATTATTACCTAAGTATAAGAGATATGCGTACTTGTGATGTCTGTATGAAGGAGAAGAAATGAGACAAAGTAGACCATCTTTTAGATTAATCCATATGAAGTTGGAGAAATATTTGAATACCCTTCTAACTAGGTGCTAATTACTTTTTGGTTTTTTCAGATGGGGAGAGGAGATGGGCAACAGGTTTCTTTTTACATGTAAGGAGATTGAATCCAAGAATAGTTAAATCTTGCCACAAGTTATTCGCTAATTATGGACTATTGTGTACCTAGTACCTTTGAGTCAAAACCAGCTATTCATAACTGACCTTGCAGTGGGTTTTCAGAGGCAGTTAATGGCTTGGGAGGAGATTGCCAGTCTTTGTTCCACACAACAGCTAGTGAATTCAAAGTGTGAGCCTTTGGGTTGGCAACACAATTCCTTACCCCTAAGCCACCGGAGCTCTTCATTTATAGGTTATTGTTTTTAGGGTCTGTCAAGTCAGGTAGGACTCATAGACACCCTGTGAACAACACAGTTGAATGCTGGCCTGTCCTGAGTTATGAGTAGGACTCAAATTTAAATCAATTACTTAAACTCCATAACCCTTGCTGTATTGATCTTTTGGTTGCCTTAATATTAAAGTTTTAAAACAAAAAGGAAGGCTCTTGTTTGATCCCCAGCTTATATATTTAACTATGTTGGAAGTCCTAAAATTGAGGGTCAAAGAGAAGTTATGTTAACGTGTTGAAGGTTAAGGGGGTGGAGTAGACAAGAAATGAGTCCAAAAATCTCAGAGAAACCAAAAGAAATGCTGTAACTACTAGGAATAAGGACAGTATATGTAAACAGATACCTTATCTAAATAAGAAGCCAATACATTTTTTAAAAGATAATAAATCAAGAAATAAAAGTATTATTTTTTTATCAGTACACATAAGAAGTTAGTTATGTTTAGGCAATAGAAACTGGTGGTGATGGGGACAATTGAAGGTAAGAAACTGTGGTTTCTTGCTGTGAACTTTTGTGTACAATTTAAATTACACAAAGGATTCCCTACAAATCTAAAGCAAAGCAGTACAAAATTAATCTGTCACTCTATCTTTGGACTTACACAAGAAACCAAGTAGTAAATGTACTTAATGACTTTTGGAATACCTTGGTGGTAAGGATGGTTAGTTTAAAATTGTGTTTTAGAATGAACCACTACCATACTATTAGTGATAAATATCTTTAACTGGAACACAGTAGCTACTTGTCTGCAGAACTTTCCAACAGTGTTTATTTTATATTGTGACAAATTTTTTTTCTCTTCTATCCATCTTTACTCAGTTTTCAAGAACTTTATTTTCTAGAACTCCCAAGTTTTGACCTTCCTAGATACCATGATTTCACAGTATATCTTCATAGCTTTAGGATTGATTATTCTCTTATATCAAGGCATAACAGTATTTTTCTTTTTTTTTTTCTTGAATACTCAGAAAGATAAAACTTCTGAATGGATTGGAAGAATTTTAAATCATCTTAAATAGCTGTGGCTCTGATTTCAGCAAATGTACCCAGTAGAAAGTGTGTGTGTATATATATATATATATATATATATATATATATATATATATACTTGACTAGTTTGTATAGAATATATTAAAGAATTTCATATTGGATATTTGAATGAGTTCTTTTAAAAAATTAATCTGACAGTTTGATTTTATATTCAGAAAATTTCTTCTGAGGATGATTTAGCTGAAGACATTAGGGTCTTAAAATACGGTTTAATTTTACTTTAGAGATATTGTAGGCAATGTATTACGGAGATAGTTTGTATATTTATCATTAAGTATAATGTCTCTTTTAAAAAACTTATTAATAGCGGTGTACGATCGAATGCGAGCAGATCAGAAGAAATTTGGTAAAGCATCATGGGCAGCAGCAGCTGAACGTATGGAAAAGCTCCAGTATGCAGTTTCTAAGGAGACTTTGCAGATGATGAGAGCAAAGGAAATCTGTTTGGAACAGAGGAAACATGCTTTAAAAGAAGAGGTAACAAAGACCATATGAAAAAAATTAAAAAACATTGATGGGAACTAATTATTTTGTTTGTATGTAAGACTGGAAGTTTTCTGATTCCACAGGAAATTTCTTCTAAACTGTTCCATGAGTTGATGGGATGACAGTGTCATGGTGGAGACTGTGATTTGAGGTGTTACTAATATTAATAGAAGCATTGTTGTTCTGCATCATTGAGTCAAAACTGATTCATAGCTGAAATCTCTACCAAGTATTAGAGTTAGTAAACTGCATTATCCCTCATTCTCTCCCAGAACAGCTGATGAATTAGAACTATGAGCCTTTGGGTTGGCAGCTCAACTTCTTAACCACTGGGGCCACCAAAGCTTCAGTAGAAGAGTAAATCCACCCAGTATTCCAGTGTTCCATGGTGAATCAAGGCAGTACAGAATTTTGCTAATTTTTTTTTACTGTTACATTTAAAAAGATTTATTGCCCAGATAAATGTAGTAAAAATACCAGCTCCCCCCCCCCCAAAAAAAAACCAACCCACCAGTCTTTGCTCACATGATCCTAACAGTAAATCTCATGGCATTTTGCTAGTATTCATTTTTATCGTGCTCAAATCTTCCTGTAAACAAAACAGGGTTCATAAAGGTCCAGTTCATTTTTACTCTAATTAAAATCTTCCTCATAGGTATTAAAGGGGAAGAAAAAGAAACAAAAATGATGAAGACATATTTTGGTACTATGGTATATTATTAGGGGAGCTCTAGTGGCCTACTGGCAAGAAGCCATGCTACAATCCCATAGGCTCATGGTTGGAGGCCACCAGCTGCTCTGCAGGGGAAGAATGGGCAGTTCTCCTTCTGTGTGATTAACTGCCTCTGAAACCTACCAGAGGGTCTGATATGGATAGGTTCTGAGATTCTGTGGTCTCACACAGCCCCTGCACACACACACCCCCCACACCCTACCCCACTCACAATCTCTGAAATGTTTGAGGCTATTGCTGTAGTCATTGGAACAATGACTTAGAAATCCTTAACAGTGTGTATGTATTGAAAGCCGATTAAGATGATATTTTAAAAACTATCTGCTTTTTCTCATTGATCTTCAGTGTATCATGGCAGCTGTGCCTATCACAAGAAGCCATTTTTATTTTCCTTCCATGCCAGTATTTCTGAAATATCTATTACTAATAAAATGGGCAAGAGAGAGATTGCTTTTTAATAACAAGTTATTTAAATATCTGCACTGATCCTTTGCTGTTAGTTTTTGAGGAATTAGAAAAAGATGGTGCTATGTATATATCTGAGAGTTGGAGAAAACTGCCCTTTTAAAAATAAAAGAAAAATCTAGCCTTAGAAATACAATGAAGCAGTCCTACTCTGTCATAGAAAGGTTATTGCCATTGATTCTGATTCACAGTGACCCCATGTACAACAGAATGGATAGAATGGATAGCTGCCTGATTCTGTAGCATCCTCATAATTTCTTTAATGCTTAATCCCATTGCCATATAATTTATGGGTTAATCCATCTGTTTGAAATTCTTTCCTATTGGCCCTCTACTTTTCTGAACATGAAATCCTTTTCCAAGGACTAGCTTCTCCTGGTAACAAGCCAAAATTGTGTAAGAGAAAATCTCACCAAACTTGCTTCTAAGGAGCATTCTGGTTATCTTTTTTCCGAAACAGATTTGTTTGCTCTTTTGGCTATCTGTAGTATACTCATTATTTTTCATTAGCCCCATAATTCAAAGGAATCAGTACTATTATCTTCCTTATTCATTGTCCATCTTTCACATGCATATAGGTCAGAATTGACCCAGTAGCTGTTGAGTTTGAGTTCTTAGATTTATTTAGTTTTATTTTTAAAACTTAAGTAAGATATAATTGTTTGTTTTTAGACAAATAGGCACCATTTGGGACAAAATGGATAACAGTGTGAAAGGGAGTTTGTAAAAGAGATTGGCATTATTAGATGCAAAATGGTGAATTCAGTTTTGACTGCAGGTGTGGGTGTTGGCCAGGAATCCCAGTTGAGGCAGAAGAGTCAGCCTACTTGTCTCGAGGAGTCTCAAGAGCTAAGGCTGGGAAAATAAGCCAGTTTACATGTTTTCAGTCAAGAAGTATCATTATCAAGTTTATTTTCTATGAAATACTCCTGTAGTGGTCAATTTATATAGATTGGAATTCTAGTTTTAAATCCTCAGTGTCTCTTTACTTAAATTTGAAACTGTATTTCGTTGTTGGTAGTGGAAATGTAGGGTTTGCTCATATGAGCTCTTTTTAATTTATATTTTGTCATTCATAAACACTGTGTTTCTTGCATGCACATTGTGTTTCATACAATCTCTCATTTACGTTATATTTCTTTCATGTATATTGTGAGTTTTTTCCAGATAGGAGCGGTTTATTGATAATATGATTTGCATGGATTTTCTTTAAATTATTTTTTATTTGTGTGAAGGCCTTACAAATCATACTGGGTTTTTATACATTCATAAACATTTTACTTTATAACATTAATTATGATTGGTTATTTACAATGTCTAAGCAACCCTCCTGGGGTATTGCCTTTCCCTTCTACTAGATTATCAATTTATTAAATTTTAATCCCCTTTTCTCCATTCCCATCCCTGTTAACTGCCAAGATTTATTGTATTTGTATGTATTTTTAAAACATTCAACATATTTGTGAAGTATTCTGGAGAACAAGTATCTTTTCTACTTTTATTAATCATTATAATAATGAGTAATGCATTAGTTTGTGAAATTTTTTAATTTAGGAAGTTTAGCAAGTTGATTTCCACAGGCATTTTATTTTTTTTTTCTATAATTATATTTTATTAATTTTCATAAACATTTACAGAGATTTTGGGCTTCCACTCATTCATTGTTGCACTATTCTCT